GGGGGGTGTCCTTATCACATGGACGTACTGAGGGAGAACGTGCAAATTTTGACATTATCACGACGTGACGGAATCAGGCACTCGTCAATTTTTGGGCATATTGGGTTATTGGTATTATCTTAAAGCCTGGGGTTTTTTTTCCTCCTTTAAGGCAAAAAAAATATCCATCTATGCTTCACAGAAGTCTAAGTATTTGCGATTGAAGGAGGTCTGGGTCGCATGGTTTCAGAGGTAAATTAGCGAAAAAATGGCCACCAAAGTTTGCTAACTTCCATAGTCTGAGAGTCCTTGGAAACTGAAAATTTTACATTTTTTGTTCCTTTAATCAATAATTTTTGTCAGCAAAATCCACAGAGAATAAATTGTATTTTTCAATGGACAAAAAAGTGTTGAACCAAAGAAGAAAATAATTTTAAAAATTGGCTTCGGCCGAAAAAAATGCCGATTTCTTTGATTTCATTATTTTGAAGAGCGCCTGATTTCACCACGATGCCTGACATGTAACCAGCTCATGCTTTTGTGCTTCTGTATACATTATTCTAGCAGCGCGTTGTTTGGGCACAAAGATAAAAAGAAAAGGAGTTTTAGAATTAATAAAGAGACCGAATAAAATCTCCGAGCTGTAATCATCTTTTAAAATGAATTAATCAACTGTAGGTGGACACCTTCGCAAATTCCTTCCTCGAGAAGGAGTGGCTGGGCTCTCGATTACTTCCAGATAACCAGTTTCAGCTGATAGCAACAATATATAACACTGTGGCTTACGCTTACGGAATTACTTAAATAATTAACGCTGGCAAAATCCACAGAATGAGAAAGGTGGAAATGATAGAGTGAACACCAGCAAGCAGAAATGAGTGGCTGGAGTTAACTGTTGGTACATAGATCGATGAAACAAGTGGTTATGAAGAAGAAAATGTTTTAAAATTAGTCTGTTTATCAGAAATTCAACTGAAATCGTTGGACTTAAAACATAATCTTTGTAAAAACAACTTTTACAAAGATTATGTGTTTTACATAATAATATGGACACAGTTAAGAACATGAAGAAGTCTTGCCACTTTGATCCTGTCTTGTAAGGCCAACCTTAGATAAATGTTTTGATTTTAGTAAGAGTTTTACGGCCCCCGTAGCAAAAAAGGTCCTATAAACCTACCCATTACAATCATTGCAGACACCCTTTTATTTTCTCTGGGGTTTGGATATGCCTGGTTTCCTCAATCAAAGTGTTTGGAAACAATAGATTATTTCTCAGTGAAGTAAGAAGTAGACTAGTTGATCTTTCTGTACAGAACATCGAGGAAGAAGTCTGTCACAAGTACAATCTATTCTCTCTTACAATACCGTTTCAAGAAACAGCTGAGTATATCACCAACCTCCCACAGTATTGGAACAGAAGAGGCATAGCTTTGTTAAAAACTCATAGTATAGCCTTCCTTTAAATAACAATCTCTATCTATGGAGATTAACAAATTCATCCTTTTGTGAGAGGTGTAACTCTTATGAAATTGAAGATGAATTTCACTTCATTTTCTATTGTCCATATTTTGTCCATCAAAGGAAATTGTTCATTCCTCCTAGCCTGACTCAGCCCAGTGACAGAAATAAGCAATGTTTGACCCATGATATGTGCAAAACCTGTCTTTCATTATGGAAACTTTATTTAACAAATGAGTGTTTTGTGTGATGTGATGTGGGCCAATGGCCTTAAACACTGAAGACATTTTTTTCCTTATTTACTGAAAGCGCCATTTGTGTGACAGCTACCATCGTTAACTATCCCCTTTTCTCTCTATGTTACTCTCTAGTCATCATCCAGTGCCAGATCTGCGACAGACATCCGCGACCATGGTTCTCCATTCATTCCTTTGCACGGATGCTCTAAAAAAAAGTTACGTTTCCCTGATCTTTCACTGTTACTCATTTGTTTAGGTTCCCTAAGTAGATTGTTCTGGGCCTACTCTTTCCTTCAATCTTGCCAGAGAGAGCTAGATATTCAAGACCCTTATGTCTCTCCAGATGTACCAAAAACACTTAAATGTAACTAATAACACTTTAAAAAATTAGGCAACCTAATTGTGTTG